ATGACCCGACAAGGAATCCATGAAAAAGGAATCCATAAAAATCGAGTTTTTTAAAATTATTTAGAATTTCATAGAGTTAAATTTTAAAAAGTTTAAAGTTTAAAACTAAGTTTTAAACGAGTAAAGCCTTTTTTTTTTGCAATATATAAAAGGTGATTCAATAAATAGACAAACCTTTTCTAATTTAACGAAAAATTAGAAAAATTTTGAAACTAAAGCTTTACCTGGAATTGAATAAACTTTGTTTTGCATCAAATTTGAACCAAGTTTAATGTTGTTGGGTCTTTTTGAGCTTTAAATACCAATCAGACGATCTTAGACGACGATCAGGGTGCACCATTCTATTAGGGAGGATACGATGTCTAAAACCCTCAAGATTATTTAAACTTTACCTCTCTGAGAAGAAAAGCTGCCACATAGGGGGGTGAAGATACCGGTGAAGATGGCTTTAGACACCGTATCCTCCCTAATAGAATGGTGCACCCTGATCGTCGTCTAAGATCGTCTAAGGTTGGTATTTAAAGCTCAAAAAGTCCCAACAACATTAATCTTAAATAATCCTGAGTTTTAAATACCAATCGAATTTATCATTTCTTCATTCCAATCAAAGATTCATTTCCAATTTCATTCCAATTTCATTTCCAATTTTCTAACTACCTTCAAAGCTATCGTGAATGTGAATGATGAATAAGGTGAGGCATTTCGGGAATGCCAGCCATTCACGTGATCTCCGCGGGTGTCACTCCTTTTTGGCCCTCTTCTTTCCCTCTTCTTTCCCTCAAAACCCATTCAAACTTTTCTATCAAAGATTTTTCTTCTCTAAAAACCCTTGTAAGAGCTCTTTTCTATTTATTTTTCGAAAATCTTGCTATTAGTAAGAATATAGGCCCACCTTCACAAAAGATTACATACCAAGCGCCACAATCAATTCAAAAATCCTAAGTGTTATATAGAGACTTGTAGCCCTTAATCTTGGCTACATTTTGCTACAAAAAACTTCCCGATTGCATTTACACAACTCATTTTACAAGCTCTTGAACGAGCAAGTCGACTCTCTCTCCGATGATCAGGTCCACCTTCACAAAAGATTACATACCAAGCACCATAATCAATTCAAAAACCCTAAGTGTTATATAGAGAATTGTAGCCCTTAATCGTGGCTACATTTTGCTACCAAAAAACTTCCAGATTGGACTTATACAACTCATTTAATAAGCGCTTGAATCAGCGCTAGTCGACATCTTTCGAATCTGTCATTTGGCCACTTTTCTCTATTAAAAAATTGTTAAGAAAAGCTTTACAATGCAAAAATAGCGTTTAACATCATTTAATAACATTAAGAATCACACTTAACTGTTTTGGCTGAATTGGGATAACCAAAATTTCAGTTGATGTCAAGCTCTGGAGGAGCAGCGCCAGAGAGATATCGACTAGCGCTCAGCTCATTCAAGCGCTTGTTAAATGAGTTGTATAAGTCCAATCTGAAAGTTTTTGGTAGCAAAATGTAGCCAAGATTAAGAGTTACAATTCTCTATATAACATTTGACACTTCTAAAATAGGCATTTGCTAGGTACTTTTGCAAAAGTTGTCGCTATACACTGTCGTCCCACATGCGACCTTTTGCCAAGAAAATCTAGGGTTAGCGCTTTAAAGTGTGGTAAAACTACCGTACCCCTCCTAAGATGGTTTGAAATTTCATTTTTTTCATTCTTGCTCATTTCATTTTATTCTTTTTTGCATTTTTCTGATGTGGTTGCGTTTGTTTTTGCAGGAAACAAAGAGGATAAAGCTAATTTACGTTTTTAACAGCATTTTCTGTGGCGAAAGCTTTGCTTGTAGAGTTTTATAGAGCCACTTGCTTCCCGACGATCACCTCCACGAGTTTGATGCAAACTAATGTTAAGTTAAGTGGTTTTTATCATTTTCTATGGCGGAAGCTTTGTTTTTGTGAGTTTTTTAGTTGAAAAAACGTTGAAACGTTGCAAAAATGCAAGTGGGAAGCAAGTGGGTCTAAATAAACTCTACAAGCAAAGCTTCCGCCAGAGAAAATGCTGTTAAAAGCGTAACTTAGCTTTATTCTCTTTATTTCCTACAAAAACAAACGCAACCACATCAGAAAAACACAAAAAGAATAAAATGAAATGAACAAGAATGAAAAAAATGAAATTTCACGCAAAGTAGGAGGGTAGTTTTACCACACTTTAAAGCGCCAACCCAAAATTTTCTTGGGATAAGGTGTCGTACCAGGTGAATTTTGTGTCAAACGTATTATGCTTTGTCATTTTATTGAAAGTTTCATTGAAAGTATCATTGAAAGTGTGTTATTTTAGTGTAATAATTACAATAACTCAATAAAGTCTTGACAGAACACTATCGAGACATTTTTCTTTTCCTTTTGTATTCCTTGCTTTTCCTTGTATTCCTTGTATTCCTTGCTTTTCCTTGTATTCCTTGCTTTTCCTTGTATTCCTTGCTTTTCCTTGTATTCCTTTCTAATCCATTTCCTCGACAAAATCGCGAACGGGGTCATTGCTATAAAAAAAAAAATAAGGAAAAGCAGAAAAAGAAAGCAAAAAAGTGCAAATAAAATGAAATTTGTCTCGTATTTGATGTTGGTGAGAAAAGTGCCGACAATCCAATCGGCAAACATTTGAAAATCGAGGGAATTTCCCCGATTTCGAAGATTTTCACAAGATCTCTTCTCAATTTCCGTTTTTTTATTGCGATTTGATTGTTCTTTGCGATTTGATTGTTCTTTAAGACTCCAAATCTTTTTTCGAAGTTTCGAAGAAGTTTTTCGAAGGGGTGGGACAATAAATTGACTCTTTTTTCTTTCTGTTAAGTGCTCAGTGAGCTTTTGATGATACTTTTATGATGTTTAGGTTATGATATTCATGATCTATGATTGTTATGATTGTTATGATATTGTTTATGAGATTTATGGGGGGTGGGCAAATGCGCACCTTTTTGCGCACCTGGACATTTGCGCACCTTTTTTGCTGGAAAAGGCCTTAGAGAAAGGTCGTAGGAGCTTCAAAAATGTTTCCGCATAAGGGAATGTGTGTAGATCCCGTACTTTGACAAATCAGACCTCGACGACAAAATTTGGGCTAAAAGGCAAAAACTACGCAACTTAACGCTTTTCCGCAGTTTTTGACTTTTATCCCAAATTTGACGTGTCAGCGAGGTCTGATTTACGAAATTCGGAATCTACGCATACGATTCCCTTATGTGGAAACATTAGTTTGAAGCTCTACGACCTTTCCTAAGGCTTTCCAGCAAAAAGGTGCGCAAATTGTCCAGGTGCACAAAAAGGTGCGCATTGTCCAACCCTGATTTGATTGTTCTTTAAGACTCCAAATCTTCTTTATTACAGAAAGAACTCTTCAAAATTTGCATTTAATTTTGCTTTGAACTCAAATGATAATCTATTTTACTGAAAAATTCTTTTAAAAAGGACGAAATTGGAAATTGTTTTCAACTTTTTCAGTGAAATGTTAGTGAATTTCAAATGTAAATTTACATATAATATGTAAATCACTTGCTTGTGACGCATAAGACTGCAATTTGCATAATGAAAATAGACCCCAAAATGGCTGCAAGTATCAAAATTTCGAAAGGTTTGATCGATCGATTATTTTTGAATTTCTGATCGATTTTTGAAAGTTAGCCATCAAATTTTAAGATTATTAACAATTGGCAATGATAATATCAATAATAATCTTGAAATTTATAGAAAAAATACTTGAAAAATAAACTTGTTTTCACTGAAAAAGACTTGTTTTCATCTATTGATCCCCGTAAATACCTCTACTTTTTCTAAAAGATCTTTAGCGTCAGTTGCAGCTCTCTTTCAGAAAAAGATCCCTTTTTACAAAGATTTTCGAAACTTTTCTTTGCTAGACTCTTTGCTCTCTTTTCTCTCTTTTCTCTCTTTTTGCTCTCTTTGCTCTCTTCAGTCTCATCTCTTTTTCTTAACTTTTTCAGTCTGTCTAGCTTTAAGCTTTCTGATAAACAATCTTTGTTGTTGATCATCTTTGAAAAAATTTGATTTGATTCGATTTGATTCAATTTCGATTTTTTTAAAAAGTTTATAACGTTAAAATTAGCTTTACGCTTACGTTTTCTTGCTCTTTTTAAGCTCATAAACAGCTCCTGCAGTTAATCTTTCGATGCACTAGAGTTCCTTTATAGTTCCTTTAAAGCTCCTTTAAAGCTCCTTTAAAGCTCCTTTAAAGCTCCTTTATAGTTCCTTTATAGTTCCTTTATAGTTCCTTTAAAGCTCCTTTAAAGCTCCTTTATAGTTCCTTTATAGTTCCTTTAAAGCTCCTTTAAAGCTCCTTTATAGTTCCTTTATAGTTCCTTTATAGTTCCTTTATAGTTCCTTTATAGTTCCTTTAAAGCTCCTTTAAAGCTCCTTTAAAGCTCCTTTATAGTTCCTCCTTAACCAAATCTAGTGCAGTTAATCTTTCGATTTTACTAAACACAACAACTATCATTTACTAGAGATACTAATAAAATTTTGAGCCACTTTCACCAAACTGTATTTGACTGTCAAATTGTCAAGAAGTCAAATTGTATTTGACTCTTTTCAAAGTTATTTCTCTTAACTAATTGAATCTCTTATCTAATATTAATAAATCTATTTATAATATTTTAACATCGATCTATTGATAATGTTTTTAGAGTTTTGAAATTTTGATAACCTAGTTTTTCCTCTGTGTTGTTAAGCTTGAAAGTGAGTAGAATACAAAAAAAATTCTACAAGATTTTTCAAAATATTATAAAAATATTGTCAATCGATTAAGCGTATTTGACTATCCAAGAAAATGTAAAACAAGGCTAGAAAAAACACGTCTAGAATCTTGACCAAGTCGAGTCAAAGTGATCCCCCGAAGTTTTTTCGTACCAAGATTTCTTTTAATTTTAAATCAAATTCCAAACATTATACCTCTTGTTCATATTTTTTTACCTTAAAGTTTACTAAATGCTTTCCAGAATGCCAAAAGAGTCTGAGGTGAAGAATGCAGTCGCTTTCTACAATCCTGATGAGGATGAGTTATCGGTGAGATTTCAAATGAAAACTATTCAAGATATTCGGTGAATAGCTTTTAGAAATTTACAGTAAAGATTGCAGTAACGCTTTAGAAATTAAGAGTGCATATCTACAATATAAAAAAAGCAGTGCCCGTCCGTCCGTCTGTCTGTCTGTCTGTCCGTCGGTTTGTACGACCATTTTCCCAGACCTACCCAAAATGGGAAGGGGGTCAACCGCCCCCTTCCCCCACCTACCCAAAATGGGAAGGGAGTCAACCGCCCCCTTCCCCCACCTACCCAAAACTGGGAAGGGGGTCAACCGCCCCCTTCCCCACAACCAAAAATGGGAAGGAGTCAACCGCCCCTTCCCCACATACCCAAAATGGGAAGGGGTCAACCGCCCCCTTCCCCACCACCAAAACTGGGAAGTGGGTCAACCGCCCCCTTCCCCACCTACCAAAAGTGGGAAGGGGTCAACCGCCCCCTTCCCCCACCTACCCAAAAACTGGGAAGTGGGTCAACCGCCCCCTTCCCCACCTACCCAAAGTGGGAAGGGGTCAACCGCCCCCTTTCCCCACCTACCCAAAACTGGGAAGGGGGTCAACCGCCCCCTTCCCCCACCCACCAAAAGTGGGAAGGGGGTCAACCGCCCCCTTCCCCCCACCTATCCCAAAACTGGGAAGGGGTCAACTTCCCCCCTTCCCCCCACCTACCCAAAAAACTGGGAAGTGGGTCAACCGCCCCCTTCCCCACCTACCAAAAGTGGGAAGGGGGTCAACCGCCCCCTTCCCCACCTACCCAAAACTGGGAAGTGGGTCAACCGGCCCCCTTCCCCACCTACCAAAAGTGGGAAGGGGGTCAACCGCCCTTCCCTCCCCCACCAAACAAGGGAAGGGGGTCAACCGCCCCCTTCCCCACACAAAGGGAAGGGGGTCAACCGCCCCTTCCCCACCCACCAAAATGGGAAGGGGGTCAACCGCCCCCTTCCCCACCAACCCATGCCGCACTATATTCACCAGCCAGAAAAACTGGCTATTAGACGACTTTTTCGGCTGATCTATTGACAATACGCCTATGATACAACAAATTAGAACAAATAGAAAATTGTTCATGAATGAAGAAAAAATTAAAGAAAATAAACCAAAGATTGAAATGTGCATGAGCAGGGATGATTAAAACATAAATTTACCTCTCAGTCTTGTCAGGCTAAAAGAAAGCATCTCTAAAACCAGTTCAACGAGGGAAATAAAATGGCAGTTTCATTCCTTGGCACAACCAGCCTGATCAGGCGAGCTTCTGGCTTTTCTGCTTTTCCATCATTTTTTAAAAATTCACACGAATAATATGGTACAAAAAAATACACAAACATAATTCCTAAGCCCTAAATATAGGAAAGAAAAAAAGCCTGTATAGCCTGGGAGTCAATAATCTTGCCGGCGAGATTGAACCCTTGACCTCTCGACTAAGATGCAGAGCTCTTAGCAAGTCGGCGATGAAGGGCATGTTTTGTGAAAGATAGTAGCGGTTAAATGGGGAAATAAGTTGATTCGGGGATTAATTTAAGAATGAATTTCAAATGAAATCATTGAATCAAATTTTCAGACATCAGAAGCTGATGGAACAGCCGGCCAAGCGATTTCCCCACCGCGACCACTTCATCTCAATATGAATATGAGCAAAAATGACACAGTGGAACAGCTAAAGAAATGCACATTACGTTTGTTTTAAAGAATTCTTGAAGAATTTTTAAAGAATTTTAAAGAATTCTCTATACTTATATGCAAATAACGAACAATTAAAAGTATTAGTTTAAAAAAAATCGTTTTTTCAAATGCTATGCTAATTTTTGTAGGCAGCAATGGCTCATTGAGGGCTTTTTGGAGAGGTTTGTGTAGAGATTTCGTAGAAAAATGGGAGATTGTGAGATTTTTCTTGATTCTTCTTGATTCTTCTTGATTCATAATTGTTTTTAGATTTCAGAAAACTATGGGTTGCGGACAGACCGGCGCCAAACCTAAAGGGACTTTGCACACATAAAGCCTCTTTAAACAACGTTTGGTTTCACAAAAGGATCCACTATTCCTACAAAATGACTTTTGAGAGATTCCACAAAGCTTCTTTCGTGGAGTTTATGAACCCCAAACACAGCAAGTCAAAATGGCAAAGAGCCCGACTCACATTTGAACAGTTCTTCACATAAACCTTCTTTGGTTTATATAAAAAAGATAGAGCACATTCAATTACTTAAGTTGCCAAATTTGCAGGAAGATCCCACCAAGGTTTTCTAGATCACAGTTTGTAGTTTTTGTGAAAAAATGGCTTTTCTGAGCGGAGGCTGTTTGAATTTTCTTTAAAATGTCGTTTGTAGAGAATTAGTTAACCATTCTACCAATCAAACGCAATTATTGACGAAGTCGAATAGAAGTTTAGACATTTTTTGATTTTCGGCGCCGAGTCATAGTCCCCAACCCAATATTTTGAAATGAGAAAGTTGAAAAGCCTTGGCAGCCTTAAGCCTCCTTGGCAAAGCTCTTGGCAAAGCCTTGGCAAAGCTCTTGGCGCCTGGCAAAGCTCTTGGCAAAGCTCTTGGCAAAGCTCTTGGCAAAGCTCTTGGCAAAGCTCTTGGCAAAGCTCTTGGCAAAGCTCTTGGCAAGGCTCTTGGCAAAGCTCTTGGCAAAGCTCTTGGCAAAGCTCGTTTTCTTTTTCTTGGCAAAGCAAAGTTCATTTCTTTTCTCTTCTTTTCTCTTCATTGAAACAAAAAGATCAAATTCTCACTCAAAATCAATAAAAAAACTTTCATAGCTTTTATTATTAAAAGTTTTACTTTTAAATATTGAAGATTTTAAGTTTAAAAAATTTAAAACAAACATTTTCTATTGTTAAATTGATTAGGTTTCTTTTTGGAGTAGAATTTTGGAGTAATGATCAAAAAAATGAAAACTCATCTTTTCTAGTGGATTAATTTGAAACTTTTTAAATACTTTTAACAAAAATAATGTGAAAATCAAAGGATTTTGATGCGCCGGATAGGTTTTGTTTACAAGTTTAAGCACAAAGTACAGCTAAAATCGATTTTTCTTTTGTTCTGTGAAGATGAAGAAAATTGAACAACAAATTACTGCATTTAACCTAAAAAGCCAACTTTACTTTATAGCTTTTTAGAAGAGCTTTAAGGAGTTAAAGAAGAGCTTGAAGAAATTAAAGAAGAGCTATAAGGAATTAAAGAAGAGCTATAAGAAATTAAAGAAAAGCTAGGTCGAAATTAAGAGCTTTCTAGTCGAAATTTTGATAAAACGCTTTCTAATCTCGCAATGCCTTCAGAAATTTCCTTCTAAAAAGAACCCTTTTGAAAATTAACATCACTCAACATTTCTTCAATAATTAAAACCCTTTCTTTACTCCCTGAGGAATTTTTCTTTTTCCAAAATAGAATTCAAAAAAATCTTTGGAAAATTTTGTTTTCTAGAGCTTTCTAGAGCTTTCTTAGAGCTTTCTAAAGTTTTCTTGTATAGCTTTCTAAAGCTTTCTAGAGCTTTCTAAAGCTTTCTAAAGCTTTCTAAAACTTTCTAAAGCTTTCTAAAGCTTTCTAGAACTTTCTATAGCTTTCTAAGGCTTTCTAGAGCCTTCTAAAGCTTTCTAAAGCTTTCTAGAGCTTTCTAGAGCTGTCTAGAGATTTCTAAAGCTTTCTATAGCTTTCTAAAGCTTTCTAGAGCTTTCTAGAGCTGTCTAAAGCTTTCTAAAGCTTTCTAGAACTTTCTATAGCTTTCTAAGGCTTTCTAGAGCTTTCTAGAGCTTTCTTGAGCTTTCTAGAGCTGTCTAAAGCTTTCTAAAGCTTTCTAGAACTTTCTATAGCTTTCTAGAGCTTTTTAGAGCTTTCTAAAGCTTTCTAGAGCTTTCTAGAGCTGTCTAAAGCTTTCTAAAACTTTCTAAAGCTTTCTAGAGCTTTCTAGAGATTTCTAAAGCTTTCTATAGCTTTCTAAAGCTTTCTAGAGCTTTTGTTGTGTTGATTTTCTCAAAACCTTTTGCACTAGATGAGATTCGTTTCAGTTTTGAGCACAAAGTGACCACAAAGTTTTGAGCCAAATCATGTTTATAGCATAGCAGAGTTGCACGGCTTAAACTTTTTGTTTTATTTTGAAAGTAGTCTAATACTTGTCTGAAATGTTTTAGTGTCGATTTTCTATAGTAGAGCTGAGGAAGATCAGTCAGAAGATCAGTCAGAAGTCAGCCTTGCTCTGACCTGGTCTGGCTTTGGCCCGAAACTATCCGAGCTGGAGTAAGAGTAAGATCCTGGCTTGGCGCTGGCTTTTTGAATTTCTGAACAACTTGCTGAATAACTTTTTGAATAACTTTCAGAATAACTTTTTGAACAACTTTCTAAATCTATAGCTTTCAAGATCCTAAACAAGTCCAGTATTTCTTAAAACTAAACAAGTTCATTATTTCCAGTAGTCCAGTGTTTCCAGTATTCCAGTGTTTCCAATATTCCAGTGTTTCCAGTATTCCAGTGTTTCCAGTAGTCCAGTATTTCCAATATTCCAGTGTTTCCAGTAGTCCAGTGTTTCCAGTAGTCCAGTATTTCCAATATTCCAGTATTTCCAGTAGTCCAGTATTTCCAACTCCATCCCTTTTTGTCTAGACATTCCCCTCATAAACCAATCATTCTCTTATCTCTGAATACCCAAAAGCTTCCGCCAAAAACTGTCGAAATTCTCGGCCTTCAACGTCTCCAAGTCCTTTCCATGTTCTCTTATCATTTCCCTTTGAATTTACAATCACATTTACATGTGTCCGTCTTTTTTTCCAATATTGACAGTTTGATTGCTCCAATTTCTTTCCCATTTCTTTCCCATTTCTTTCCTATTTCTGGATCTTGTTGAAAAAAACTGAAAACGAAGAAATTGTTTACGAGTTTATGATTGTTTTATGAAAAAAAACTAGAATGAAAAGAACTTTAATAGTGCTTTGTTTTGAGAGAATTTCAAAATTGAAAGAAAATCGAATCATTTCGAGTCATTTAATTTAATCAAATCAGTTAGTTTATTTCATTAGTAATTAGTTATTTCATTTATTTCAAAGCTGACTACTTTTTGTCGTATTTTGAAAGAAAAACTCTTTGAATTTCTCGAATTTCTAGAATTTTTATGACTTTTTAGAATTCGAATAAGTGGCATTCAGAAAATTTAGGTAGTTATGACTTTGATGAGTCTAAAACAATAGAAATTTGTTGATGGCTAGAAATTTGTTGATGTTACTTGGCTAGAAAGTCGTTTAGCCTTTGTTGAGCTGAAGAAAAAGAACAAGAACCTACGAATTTATGCCTTTTGAATCAAAAATTCTTTAGTAAAGCTGTTTTAAAACTATTTTTCTATGGTTTACGATGGTTTTAAAGTAATTTTCTAGAATTTAGACTTTAGACTTTAGTTTAGTAACTTTCTAGACTTTAGTTTCAAATAGTTGAATCGTAGTTGATTGATTGATTTGACTGGGATGGGCTATGGTTTTGATAGTTTTGGATTTTTGAGTAAAGCAGTAAGCAGTAAGCAGTAAACAGTAAGCAGTAAGCAGTAAGCAGTAAGCAGTAAGCAGTAAGCAGTAAGGCAGGAAGCAGTAAACAGTAAGCAGTAAGCAGTAAGCAGTAAACAGTAAGCAGTAAGAACAGTAGAAACAGTAAACAGTAAGCAGTAAGCAGTAAGCGGTAAATAAGAAAAGGCAGTAAGCAGTAAGCAGTAAGCAGCATAAGCAGTAAGCAGTAAACAGTAAACAGTAAACAGTAAACAGTAAACAGTAAACAGTAAGCAGTAAACAGTAAGCAGTAAACAGTAAGCAGTAAACAGTAAGCAGTAAACAGTAAGCAGTAAACAGTAAGCAGTAAGCAGTAAGCAGTAAACAGTAAACAGAAAACAGTAAACAGTAAACAGTAAACAGTAAGCAGTAAACAGTAAGGTAAACAGTAAACAGTAAAAGGCAGTAAACAGTAACAGTGGCAGTAACAAGTGAGAAAAGGGTAAACGAAGCAGTAAGCAATAAGCAGTAAACAGTAAGCAGTAAGCAGTAAAGCGAAGCAGAAGCAGTAGTAGCGGTAAACAGTAAGCAGGTAAAGGGCAGTAAGCGGTAAACAGTAAGCAGTAAGCAAAACAAAGCCGAATTTCAATTCAAGAAAGCTGTCTTTGGAACATATTTTCTTCATTCGTTTAAACGCTTTTCTTTAGCTTTTGTTTTTGTTTTTGTTTTTCTTGATATCTTCTTTATATCTTTTCTTAAAAACCTCTATTTATTAGTCCAAAAAAAGCAATGTCTCGCCGAGCCTCACTAGCCGTTGAACGCCTGTATCAAGATGAGCTTTCTGGCGATGAGAATGATTGTAAGAAAATTGGGTTAAAGCTTTACGTAGCTTTACGTAGCTGTAGGAAGCTGTACGTAGCTGTAGGAAGCTGTATGTAGCTGTACGTAGCTGTACGTAGCTGTACTTTGTAGCTGAAAAGTCTAGAAACACGTTTCTGGTGCACAAAACTCTTTTGCTAATTTGATAAGGCTAATTTGATAGGGCTAATTTGATAATGCTAATTTGATAATGCTAATTTGATAAGGCTAATTTGATAATGCTAATTTGATAAGGCTAATTTGATAATGCTAGTTTGATAATGCTAGTTTGATAATGCTAATTTGATAATGCTAATTTCCCCCAAAGTAGTATATTAAAGCCAAAAAGAAAAAGAAATCTGTGAGCCAAGAATGCCAAAGCCAAGCCAAGCCAAAAAAACGCCAGAATGCAAGCAAATGCAAAAAAGCCTAAAATACTCTCTCAAAAGCTTAAATAACATTGAAACAAAAGATAGATCAATAAAAAAAAGATCATTGTTTTATTTCAAAATTTCTAGGTCAAGTCGACAGCGAGATCTTCGACAATGACTCATTCACTCGGTCAGTTTCATTCGAATCAAATTTACGCAAGGAAAAAAACTGATTGTTCTTGATTGTAAAGTTGACATTTCAAATGGAAAGCTTGTAAAGTTATTAAGCGAAAAAAAAATGATTATCTTGGCTCCAGACAACTCTCAAAAATTCCTCTCAAAGTCGATTAATTCCAACAATTCTTTGCATTATGAAAGAACCCAAGTTTCGCTATCGAATGATTGACTTTCATGCTGATTTTTCGTTGTTGTAAGTCGAATTTTTTTTCACACCTACCCTTGAATGAAAGTATTGAATGCTTTTTAGCTTTAGGACTGGACTTTAGTTTGGTTTAGGTTTAAGAAAGTGATCTTTAGTCAGATTTAGGCCTAGAAAAGTGGTTCTCAGTCAGATTTAGGCTTAGGAAAGTGATCCTCAGTCAGGTTCAGGCTTAGGAAAGTGATCCTCAGTCAGGTTCAGGCTTAGGAAAGTGATCCTCAGTCAGTTTTAGGCTTAGGAAAGTGATCCACAGTCAGTTTTAGGCTTAGGAAAGTGATCCACAGTCAGGTTCAGGCTTAGGAAAGTGATCCTCAGTCAGGTTCAGGCTTAGGAAAGTGATCCTCAGTCAGTTTTAGGCTTAGGAAAGTGATCCACAGTCAGGTTCAGGCTTAGGAAAGTGATCCACAGTCAGGTTCAGGCTTAGGAAAGTGATCCACAGTCAGGTTCAGGCTTAGGAAAGTGATCCACAGTCAGGTTCAGGCTTAGGAAAGTGATCCACAGTCAGGTTCAGGCTTAGGAAAGTGATCCTCAGTCAGGTTCAGGCTTAGGAAAGTGATCCTCAGTCAGTTTTAGGCTTAGAAAAGTCATCTTCAGTCAGTTTTAGGTTTAAGAAAGTGATCTTCAGTCAGGTTCAGGCTTAGGAAAGTGATCCACAGTCAGGTTCAGGCTTAAGAAAGTGATTCTTGAATTTAAATCTTTATTTAAATCTATATCTAATATCTAAATAACTACCTATTTCAATTAAATCCAATACATTACTTCTTTCTAGATATGCTCAAAGCCCAGGCGGATCAAACCACGCCGTCTCGCAACCCTTTGAAATGTCCGGTGTTCCCATTGAAAGTCTTGAGAGTCGAAATCATCTCGTGAAAGAACTCTCGAATCGGTGAGTCAATGAAAAACCCATTAGAATACACTTTTGCCTGTTCTCATTGTTATAATCTTTGTTATAATCGTTAACTAATCTAGATTTTCTTCTTCATAATCCTTCTGTTCACATTGATTTCTAAAAGCTTCAGTTCACTAGAGCGGTAAAATGATCGTTGCAAAATGGGGTGTGCAAATGGAGTAGACCGAATCGAGTCATAAAGATAACAAAGAAAAAGTATTGAGCTCATTTAGAAAAAAAAATGGAATAGGATTTTTGAAAAATCGGTTAAACGATTTGTAGTGTGAAATGGTGCTTTCTAGAAATATAGACATTCTAGAAATCTAAGACAAATTGTAAATTTTATGGCTTTAAGTGTCCACCGATACTTGTAGGCATTGTAGTTGTAGCCTTTAGGTGTCCACCGATACTTGTAGGCATTGTACGTATAGCCTTTAGGTGTCCACCGATACTTGTAGGCATTGTAGTTGTAGCCTTTAGGTGTCCACCGATACTTGTAGGCATTGTACGTATAGCCTTTAGGTGTCCACCGATACTTGTAGGCATTGTAGTTGTAGCCTTTAGGTGTCCACCGATACTTGTAGGCATTGTACGTATAGCCTTTAAGTGTCCACCGATACTTGTAGGCATTGTACGTATAGCCTTTAGGTGTCCACCGATACTTGTAGGCATTGTAGTTGTAGCCTTTAAGTGTCAATCCATATTTGTAGGCATTTCCTGAGTTTACCGAGAAGGTTTTATCCGCACAAATTGTGATTTAGCCTTTGTTTCAAACATCCTAGCAAAGTGGCTTCCTAACAACACTTACAAATTACAAGACACTTACAAATGTACAACAAATAGCTCTTTGATTCGTATAATAACGCTCACCTTTTTCAAGAACCGTTGTTTTACGTCCGTTTTTTCACGTCTTGTTTTCTAAAATGTGTTCGCTTTAAAAAAAGCTACCTTCGTCTATCTAGTTTTTCCATGATTAGGTGTTCTTCATAGAATCAGATCATGTAACTTGATCGAATAAGGACTAGAGCTACGATAACGGTTGTTTACGAAAGTTTGGATGTTTGAGAAAACGGATTAGTCAAGAGGGACAATCGAAATTGGGAACCCAGGACCAACACTCGACTCAAATTGGTCTTAGCTTATCCAAGCCCACTAGTTCTCTATCTATGCTATCCAGAATGGCAAGATTCGGCTTTAGTTTTTATTTATAAGCCGCCAGTTCAGCGCTAGCCTTATGAACTTGATCAGCCCTTCCCACCTTGACGCCACGATTGACGGGTTCGCCTCGTCCAATGTGACTATTCCTATTTTGTGCCACCCAGGATTTAGAAATTCGTTTTTAGATTTAGTTTTTCTCTAAAGATTGAGCAAGATTTTAAGTTCATAAGTTTAAAAAGTTGAATAAACTTTTAAGAAAAGAGGAAAAGTTTAAAAATTAGCAAAAATTATCAATTTAGCACTCAGCACAAAGACCGAAACTTAAAATTTAGCTTTAAAATAACTTGATAACGTTCAGACACCAAAAAACGCGTCGCTTCTCGGCACAGTGAGTTTCACATATTGTACAGTGTTTTGTGTCGTATCTTTCCTTTATTTTAAAGTCTGAAACATTTTGAGACTTTTGCAAATTTGATTTCATTAGCTAATATTAGCTAATATTAGCTAATATTGGGAGTGGGACAAATGCGACCTTTTTGCGCACCCGGACATTTGCGCACCTTTTTTTCCGCACCCTGCCCATTAGCGCACCTTTTTTCGCGTTTTAAAAAAGCTCTAAAAGCTAATATTAACCAATTTCGATTCCAAAAGTTGCTTTTCTAGGTAATTTTAGGGCGTAGAATCGAAATTTTGACATATCAGAGCGTGTGGAAACAAACGGACGTGCAGGAAAATACTTTTGAGGCTTTCAGCAAATTTTTTCAAGTAACTTAAAAAGTGTTAAAGGGTTCCTAGTTAGAGTGTGTTCCTCGGGGGTAAGTAATTACTTAAGTAAAATTTGCACGAGTCTTTACTCGCTTAATCGGCGTTTTTGGTCGAGTAGCTACGAGTAATCCTCTTTACACGTCGAGTAAATTGAATATCTTTATATTTGAAGGGAATTTGCCACCAAATCAGTTGAACGGTTGAACATCTTTAAAAGGAGTCGTATAGAACGCCGCGCTCGTGATTTTCGCGCCAACTTTTTGAGAATAGGACAAATGCGGCCTTTTTTTTTGCGCAACAGGGTTATTTGTCTGGGTTGTTTGCTTAACTCGCCATAACTTTCTCCTGAGTTGGTCAATCTTTATGATTTTCGTGTCATTTTGTTGCACTTATTGAGATCTACAAAATGAAACCAAAATCATAAAGATTGGTCGACTTAGAAGAAAGTTATGACGAGTTGCGACTAAAGCTCTCTGAAAATTTAAAGTTATTTGGCGTTTCGAGGTCAGGTGAATGCATTCCTGGGGAGTGGGACAAATGCGACCTTTTTTTGCGCACCCGGACATTTGCGCACCTTTTTTTTCCGCATTTAGCCCATTAGCGCACCTAATTCTTTTCATAAAAGCTAATATTAACCCATTCGATTCCAAAGTTGCTTTTCTAGGTAATTTTAGGGCGTAGAATCGAAATTTTGACATATCAGAGCTTGTGAAAACAAACGGACGGAGTTATACAAAGAGAAAAATCGACAATTTTCTGTAATTTGATCTAGCCGTCTTTCAAATTGATTCCACAAGCTCTGTTATGTCAAAATTTCGATCTCTACGCCCTAAAATTACCTAGAAAAGCAACTTTTGGAATAGAAATTGGTTAATATTAGCTTTTTAGAGCTTTTTAGAGAAAAAGGTGCGCTAATGGGCTAAGTGCGGAAAAAAAAGTGCGCTAATGGGCAGGGTGCGGAAAAAAAGGTGCGCAAATGTCCGGGTGCGCAAAAAAGGTCGCATTTGTCCCACTCCCCTAATATTAGCTAATCTTATCAACAAATCAGCTCAAGATTTTCGTCATTATCTTTAGATTTTTGTAAACTCTTGATTCTTTAGCTTTAGCTCTTAGCTTAATTAGAAAAAAATCCCATCCAGCACGTCAATTTTCAATTATTTATCTAAAGAATTGCTTCTTAAAAGATTTGGAATTAATTTGAAAATCTCTGAATCTCTGAATCTCTGAAATCTCTGAAATCCCCAAAAATCCCCAAAAATCCCGCAAATTCCCGGGCTTTTTCATTGGAGAAATCATGGGTTTTGCGGCTTTTTCCTTTTTTTGAAAAACATAATTTCTCGATGCCGGGCTTCGCTTGGGATTTCCGGTGACTATTTGCCATTTGCCTCAATTCTAATTCGAATTCTAATCCAAAAATTGTTTTGCTTAGACAAATTCCACAGACTTTCCACAGAAATTCCTCAACTATGCCCTATCCAATCAGCAATTATCCAATTATCAAATTTCGCCAAAAACAGCATACATTGGTCGACTTTTTTAGGTGAAAATCTCTTTTTTTCAACGCTTTAGAGCTTTAGAATCTCGAGCTTTAAAGTTTAAACCGAAATTTCTCTATAGAAGTCTATAGAAGTCTGTAGAAGTCTGTAGAAGTCTGTAGAAGTCTGTAGAAGTCTGTAGAAGTCTATAGAAGTCTGTAGAAGTCTGTAGAAGTCTGTAGAAGTCTGTAGAAGTCTGTAGAAGTCTGTAGAAGTCTGTAGAAGTCTGTAGAAGTCTGTAGAAGTCTATAGAAGTCTGTAGAAGTCTGTAGAAGTCTGTAGAAGTCTGTAGAAGTCTGTAGAAGTCTGTAGAAGTCTGTAGAAGTCTGTAGAAGTCTATAGAAGTCTATAGAAGTCTGTAGAAGTCTGTAGAAGTCTGTAGAAGTCTGTAGAAGTCTGTAGAAGTCTGTAGAAGTGAAGCTGTAGAAGTCTGTAGAAGTCTGTAGAAGTCTGTAGAAGTCTGTAGAAGTCTGTAGAAGTCTGTAGAAGTTGTAAAGTTTAGAAGTCTATAGAAGTCTGTAGAAGTGCATTATTATAGCTTTTTAATGAAATTTTCTAACAAAGAACCAAATTTCGAGGCTAGACCAGGGCTCAAGCCTTACTTATGGTCTTTTGACTTGCCTGGCTTGACTTATGGTCTTTTGGATCAGCCTTGGGCTTTATAAATTAGACTTATTAATTTAACCACCTTTAGTTAAAGTTTTGACTAAAATTCATCGAAATTTGACTAAATTTGACTAAGTTGTTGAAGTATTGGCTGAAATTAGCCAAAATTTGACTAAATTTGACTAAATTTAACTCAAGAATTGAAGTATTGCCTAAAATTATCTTAATCTTAAATGATATCTTAAATTATCTTGATACATTTATTCACACGAATAATGTGGTACAAAGAATACACAAGCACAACCCCTAGCACTCAACTTAGAGAAGCCCTAAATGTAGGGAAGAAAAGAAAACCTATGTACCGTATTTTCTCTAATAGTAGTGCACCCGGCCGAGTCGAGTTGACGACCATTTTACGGCTTTCAAAGTTTTCCCAGAAGCTCAACACCCTAATCCCCCACTAGATCTCATCGTCAGCTACATTTTCCGACCCCACATCGATAGGTTCTGATAAGCGGTTCTCGAGATTTCGAGGAATTTAGGCAAGGCTTAGGGTGCACTACTATTAGAGAGAATACGGTAATCGAAATTTTGACGAAATTTAACGAAATCGCTAAAGTATTGGCTAAAATTAATCAAAATTTGACTAAATTTAGCAAAATTGTTGAAGTATTGAGTAAAATTAATCAAAATTTGACTAAATTTGACGAAATTTACCCAAATTGTTAAAGTATTAGCTAAAATTAATCAAAATTAATCAAAATTTGACCAAAATTTGACCAAATTGTTGAAGTTTTGAGTAAAATTAATCTAAATTTGACTAAATTTGACGAAATTTAACCAAATTGTTAAAGTATTCAATAAAATTCAGCCAAATTCGAACAAATAGTTGGAGTATTGAATAAAATTCTTCAGTAATCTGAAAATCTCTTCAACTCAAAGCAAAACAAATAATCAAAACCTTTCTATTTCACTGTATTTTTAGATGCTTGAAATTTCTAAATTAAAATCATCCATTTTTATAATTAGAGGAGGAGAAAAATGATTAAAAACTGTTCAAAAAGAGAAATCGCTTTTAAATTGGTTATTTAAATTGAAAGAAAAAGAAAAGCAGCAAGTTGAGGCCAGCAAGTTAGCCAGGAAGTTAGCCAGGAAATTAGCCAGCAAGTTAGCCAGCAAGTTAGCCAGGAAGTTGAGGCCAGGAAGTTGAGGCCAGCAAGTTAGCCAGGAAGTTAGCCAGCAAGTTGAGGCCAGCAAGTTAGTCAGCAAGTTGAGGCCAGCAAGTTAGCCAGCAAATTGAGGCCAGCAAGTTTTTCAATCGATTTCAAAACTAAACTCTTCTAATAAAATCGTTGTACGAAAAGTGCTCAAAAATTTAGGCAATAAAAGATGAATATTTCAGTGCTCGTCTCGAGAACTCAGGTGGAGGAGAGATCGCGAATGGAGCAGGGATTGGAGTGGCGGTGGGAGGAGGCAGTGGAGGGACACTCTCCGCCGCACTCTCACCCCTTTCCCCAAATGGATTCCCCATCGATGAGCTTATGCCTAGGTAAATGACCGCATTTTTTTTTCTGAATCTCTTTTTCCGAATCAATCTCTATTTCAGATCGAAATCCCCACAATTGATTGAGATGCACACTTTTCGTGACGCTATCGACGTGAATTACCAGAGAATGGCGATCACTGGAGAGGAGTTCTCTGGGGTAAATTTTTTAAGAAGTTGGGAAAGCTTTGAAGCTTAGGGAAAGCTTTGAAGCTTAGGGAAAGCTTTGAACTTTTCTAAAGAGATTTGAGCAATCTTTGAACCTTTAAAAACTAGTAACAAGTCTATATTTGCTTATTTTTGACTTGATAGAGTATATAAGGGCAATCATACGATATAAGGACAATCATACGATATAAGGGCAATCATACATCATACTTGTTCAGTCTCTTAACAAAAATGACGTCCTTTTTGCCCTTTGCTCTATAACTAAACTTTTTCTTAGCAAACAAGCAAACAAATTGCATTTTATGGCCAAATTTGATGAGGATCCTTTTAAAACCAACCCGTACGTCGATCCGATACATGCACCTCGAGAAATAAGCCGTTAAAGTTGACCGGCTTCTGCAGGTTTTCCTTAAGAAAAAACCGCAGAAGCTGGCCAACTTTGTCGCGGTCGCGTGGGTCGTAGACAAGCGCGCTCCCGACCGCTCCACGGCGTAGGTCGTACTCTAGACTATATTGTAATTGTGTTATTTAAAATAAAAAAAGTCAACTTGAGTGGCACTACGGGGGATCGAACTCGGGTCTTGTGGGTAGTAGAGGTCGAAGAAATATTAAAATAGGGGGAATTGAATGATTGGGAATTGATTTACAGTCGAAAAATTGAGTTTTCAATAATTGTCCACCAATAGACAACCCAATAGACAATCCAATAGACAACCCAATAGACAATCCAATAGACAACCCAATAGACAATCCAATAGACAATCCAATAGACAATCCAATAGACAATTAATAGACAATCCAATAGACAATCTTCTATCTAATAGACATATTTTTGATGGTTTTTGATTCAGTTAACGAATTGTAAGTGTTTAAAAAGCTCTCAAGTTTATAATTGGACAGCTTACAACAGCAGGTTCGAGAACTGAATCTGTTGGTGAAGGGGGTGAACTAGTTGTTGAAATCGTTTAACATTGTTTTATTGGTCAATTGTTCTAATGTTTTAGCATTGTTTTATTGTTTTATTTCTTTAAAAAAAGAGAATTTCTTCAGGTTCCCCTTGAAGATCACGCAACCGCAGCAAAATGTATAACGACGGCATTAGACATTCGTGAGCAATACATGAAACGAATTGGTCATCATTTCCCGTCAACTGTCTCGAATTTCCTTCACGGAGAATACCCAATGAATCTGCCAAAGTGCCGAAAGAAGAACACCGAGTCGAGTCAGTTTTTCTCTAGCCAAATTTTTCTGTTCTCGAAATTTTTTTTAAACATTTCTCAATTCAAACATTTAAATGTTAAAAAACGACTTCAAATTTCAAATTTCAGATATTGATTTGTGTAGGTTTTTTTCTTGGGAAAGTTTTGCCTTTTAAAGATTTCTTCTAAAGATTACTTCTAAAGATTTCTTCTAAAGATTCTATGATTGGTGTAAAGATCAATGTGCCAGATAGCTAACGTTTTCACATGCTTGTTCGATTCACTTTTTCGATTATGCACATATTTCCTCAATTTCTATTGTTTAGCACTTTGTCTTTTATCTTAAACTTTTGAATTTTAGGACTTACTTTAAATCGATGACTTTAATCTAGTTTTAATTTAATCTATGAACTTTAATTCTCAAGATTCTGGTGTAAAGATTGGATTGGTGTAAAGATCGATTTGCCAGATAGCTAGGGAGCTAGAGAGCCAAATAGCTAGAGAGCTAGATAGCCAGATAGCTAGAGAGCTAGCTAGATAGCCAGATAGCTAGAGAGCCAGATAGCTAGCTAGAAAGCCAGATAGCTAGAGAGCTAGCTAGATAGCTAGAGAGCTAGAGAGCTAGCTAGAGAGCCAGATAGCTAGAGAGCTAGCTAGATAGCTAGAGAGCTAGAGAGCTAGCTAGAGAGCTAGCTAGAGAGCTAGCTAGAGAGCCAGATAGCTAGATAGCTAGAGAGCCAGATAGCTAGATAGCTAGCTAGAAAGCCAGATAGCTCTCTAGCTAGCTACAGAGCCAAATAGCCAAATAGCTCTCTATCTTTACTTTCAAATCTATGAATTCATTTAGCTCAATGGAAACGTACGGAAACGGATCCGTATCTAGAAGAAAGGCGTTTAAGGAAGAGAACCCGAGTGATTGGCGGTAGAGATGATTGATCTTTGTTTTTTGAATGAAATCATTAATCGGATTGTTTATTTGAAAGTAAGCTGGGTTTTTTGTTTCTTTAGAACAATTTCTTTAGAATTTTACTAAGAAACGTCGCCCAAATGCCTACGCTTTTAAAACGGACTCCATTTTATACAGAGTTAGGCAAAAATTACTCAACAACCAACCTTTTCTGGATGTTTTGCGGCTGTGGTCAGTTGTCCCCATGGCGCAGTCAGGAGCCCGTTCGTCTACGGCCCACACGGTCCGAGTTCGACCCCCCCTAGAGCCACTTAGTTCGGATTCTTTAGTGCATTCAATGAAACAGAAACTCAGCCTACAGTACCCCTTCCAAACCTTACAGTATCCTTTTCCCCGGCGATAACTTGACTGTTTGAAGCGAAATCTGAACAAATTCTCTTATCCATCTCAAATTTTAACCAATCTCTTTTTTCTCTCACATTTATGCATGCCAAAATGCTCCTCCTCTTCTTTCGTTCAACGATTTCGATTAAAAACGATTTCTGTGTGCTCACTCATCTACATAAATGAAATAAAGCTTACAGTAAACTGTAACTGTAACAGTAAACTGTAACTGTAACAGTAAACTGTAACTGTAACAGTAAACTGTAACTGTAACAGTAAACTGTGACAGTAAACTGTGACAGTAAACTGTAACTGTAACAGTAAACTGTAAGCAAGTCCAGTAGAAAGTTTATCTTTCGACTTTTCAGCTGCCAACACTTCTTTCAATCCACCCGACCCACCAACGGATCATTGGGGATTGTACACACCGTTGCCCGAATATCAAGAGAAATACGAGCTGAGAAGGGAAAATGGAGTGGTGAGCGCTCTACGATAACTTGCTTAGTCTAGAAACTACAAGATTAGATAAACTTTTTGACAAGTCTATAGACTAAAATGTCTCTAGACGCTGAAGCAAGCTCGTAGCCAGGATTTCGGTGCTTTTGGCTGCCAGAGCTTCGTCCACAAGCGTCCAATCAATTTACAACTAAAGAAGAAAATTTAGAAAAATCTTCAGGCTACATTATGGTTAGGATGAAATTCTTTTTAAATGAAATTCACTCGGAAAAATTTGCATTTTTTTGAGAGAATTTTGAGGAGAAGAGGTTTTCGCCAGGAATCCTTAGCCGGGAGTTTTAATCCTTAGCCATTATTCAGAAAAGCTTCTAACCGTCACCAATCGATTCTCCGTATCGTTTTACGTAGGACAAGTGAGCTAGAAATTTGATTTAAAGCTTTTGGAGTGAGCTAGAGAGGCTTAAAGTTGAGCAGAAGTTGAGCAGAAAAAAAAAGTCGTGACAACTCAACTTTAAGCCTCTCTAGCTCACTCCACAAGCTTTAAATCGGATTTTTAGCTCACGTATCTTATGTAAAGCGATACGGAGAATCGATTGGTGGCGGTTAGAAGTTTCCTTGCTTACTTAAATCTTTACTTTCTCTTGGGATTTTGGGGGCAGAGGAAAATCAAAAGTTGTGCGTACCATTTTTGAGTACAAAGTACGCATCAAAGTACGCATCAAAGTACGCATCAAAGTACGCATCAAAGTACGCATCAAAGTACGCATTAAATTAACATTTACCCTTAACCCATTGAACTTAAAAAGCTTTCCAATGACAAAATTAAAACTTTTGATAAGTTTAAAGGGTGTGAAAATGTTAATGGTAAAGATTTAGACACACTTTTACAAATCCGATGGCACACGGGATCCCCAATTCGATGAATACTACGTGAGCCAAGGAAAATTCTTGGATGACACTGATCAATTGACATCAATGATTGTTGATGGACCACTGTAAGCAAGAACTTTTTGGCTTTCAGTTTGGCAGTTCTTCTTTTCAGAAAATCGTTCTGCTATCGTCGATTGTGCTATTTGGAGAACAAGTTCGTACTTCACGTATTGCTGAATGAATTGCGTGAATTACATGAACAGAAATGCGTATCGCATAGAGATTTCTACAATATAAGAAAGGTTTGAAAGAAGATATGGTATTTCTAGTGCTTTTTTTAGGTTGACACTCACATACACGCGGCGTCATCGATGAATCAAAAGCATTTGTTGCGTTTCCTCAAGAAGAAGATCAAGACTGAAAAGAATACGGTTGTTTTAATGGAGGTGAGAAGGGAATTTGATTTGTTTTGATGGAGGTGAGAAGGGTACAAGCTAAAAGCCAACCAGGCCGCTTCAGTCTCCTATTTTCTACAGAATGAAAGTGTTGTGGAGATGTGAAGTGAACATAAAAGTGAACAAAGAGGACAGGGATTTTCTAAAAACCCATTTTCCTGAACTAGATCAGAAACCAAATTTGTGCTCCTTCTGGCTTTACTTGATCTGGACGGCTTTTACAGATTTAACCAAAATATCTGGGCTATTAGATTGGTATAGATAGATAGATAGGCCTGTTTGATAATTTTAGAAAAAAGATTTGTACTTGTGGGTTACATTTGTACTTGTGGGTTACATTTGTGCTTGTGGGTTACATTTGTACTTGTATACATCCACAAAGACTCATCTCGGTAAAGCATCCCCATCAGCTACTTGATTTTTTTTGTTCTAAATGTGTCCAACCTAGAGTGTGCTCCTTGTTGACAGACAATTTGTTAGACAAATTTTCATTGACAACTTTTTTGTCAGACAACTGATCCGACAAACTTCCGACAACGCGTTTTCTAAAAGGTGCGCTTTTTAAGCAAAGCTATAAAGGTCGCGCGAAAAAAAATTTGCAAACTTTTCTTAAAATATAGTAATGGATAGTTTTATTTAAGGATTTAGGTTTTTTAGGGCGTGGAATTTTTTTTTGGAATGGTTCTAGTGCAAATGTAGACAATAGGCCTGGTAAATTCGTAAATAATATAATTTTTTAATAGTGTTTCTTAACTTTTCCCGTTTTAAATGTTTTCTTTAATTCTAAATAGCATTTAAAAATTTTTAAGTTTTAGCGAAAGAGTAATAGAGCTAAGGAAAGAGTAATAGAGCTAAGGAAAGAGTAATAGAGCTATGGAAAGAGTAATAGAGCTATGGAAAGAGTAATAGAGCTAAGGAAAGAGTAATAGAAAAAAAGAGCGCAAGATTTTAATGTACATTTGCATTTTGAAAAATTTGCTGATGCAAAGCATAGGGTTACGGTAGCTTGTCCTTGGCGCGCGCTTTTTAGAAAACGCGTTGTCTGCAAGGAACACACTCTAGTCCAACCTTTTGCCCCTTTTGCCTCGCTCCTTCTTTTTGCCATTGGCAATCTAACTTTAAGCTCAAATTTCTTGGTGTTGGGTGGTCCAATTTAAATGCTATTGGTATCATTAGATGCGCCAAGTCTTTCTCTATCGATTGGTATAAAAAGTGTTTGAATTGGACAGCCCAAAGCCAAGAAATTTGACCTTAAAGTTGAATGCCAATTGCAAACAGGCATATCAACTGTCCCACAATCTTTAATTATTAATAATACGATACGAATTTGCATATGTAGCTTTACGAGTAATTGATATTTGATTTGATCATTTCAGCAAGGCAAGCCAATCACAATGCAAACAGTGTTCGAACAAATGGGCATTGAGGCTTATGATCTCTCCGTGGACATGCTCGATGTGCACGCCGACAGAAACACTTTCCATCGTTTCGACAAATTCAATGCAAAGTTGGTTCTCAGGATTTGATTTGGAAATTTGATTTGGATTTGATTTGGATTTGATTTGGATTTGGTTTGGATTTGATTCAAAAACCAACCAACCTTCAGGTACAACCCAGTTGGCGAGTCTCGCCTTAGAGAGATTTTCATCAAAACCGATAACCACGTTGGTGGAAAGTATTTTGCTGAGCTGATCAAGGTAAATTTAGATTTCAAATATTCTCAAATTATGGCTTTACATTCAGGAAGTACTCTCTGACCTTGAGGAGTCAAAGTATCAACATGCGGAGCCTCGTCTTTCGATTTATGGCCGATCAAGGGATGAATGGGACAAATTGGCGCACTGGGCAATCACGCACGATGTTTGGAGCACGAATGCGAGATGGTTGATCCAGATTCCGAGACTTTAGTGAGTTGCAAAGAGATTAATAGGCAAAATTTCAATAAGTCAATCTTTTTTCTATAAAAGTCAATCTTTTGCCAATAAGATAGTTGAAAAACTTCTCGATCTGATAGATTTTTGTGAAAACTTTTGACTAACTTGTTCTCGGCTTGTTTGAAAGTCTTTTAAAGTTGTAGATATACCGTAAATGTAATGCTTTTCATTTTGTTTTTAAAAACAAATCAATTGTCGACAATTTTAGTGACATCTACCGGACGAAAAACATGAAAAACTTTGGAGAACTCTTGGACAATCTCTTCTTGCCGTTATTTGAGGTGAGTGAAAAAGTAAAAACGATTAAGCTGTCCAGAAAAGCTTTTCGTTTCGTTTCGTACTTTTGTTTAAAACCAACAAATGCACCAATTCAGCTCCTGTTTCATTAAAAAGGGCACTTATTTTTCTGCAAAATAACATTAAAACGGGTTTTAAATGTTTTATGTCAGGGTTTTTTTTGGCAGCATGAAGTCGGGTAGTCAAATAGACGGATCGATGAAGCGGTTTAGACACTTTAGCCCAAAGAAACCTATTTTAGTGTCAATAGATAAAAAATAGAGCTTAAAAAGTTCGGTATCTAGGGAAAATTTCAGAGAAATCGCTTCAGCCAATTTCTTCGTAGAGGTTTTTATAGATTTTTACGAAAAGCACGTGTTTTCACTCTCAAATTTGCTCGAAAGTGAGCCGAAATTGACTTAAAAAGAAGGAAATTGAACCGAAATTGAATTAAAAAGAAGGAAAATGAACTGAAATTGACTTAGAAAGATTGAAATTGAACCGAAATTGACTTAAAAAGATGGAAAATGAATTGAAATTGACTTAAAAAGATTGAAATTGAACCGAAATTGACATAAGAAGGTCGAAATTGAACCGAAATTGACTTCAAAAGATGGAAAATGAACCAAAATTGACTTCAAAAGATTGAAATTGAACCCAAATTGACTTAAAAAGATGAGAAATTCAACAATAAACACTTTTTATTTAGAGAAAACCATGGGTTAATCGGTGAATTTGTTATTTTTCAAAAAGAAGTACAAAAAGGAGCGAAAAGTCTTTCTTGACAGCTTCATAAAAGCTAAGAAGTATTTGAATTGAATTAACAATAAGTAAAAAAGTGAATCTGAAACTATAGCAAAATCCGAAGTCAGTTTTCTTGTAACTTCATCCAAATTCCATAGCTTATAGATATTTCCAGGTCTCAAACGATCCGTCATCTCATCCCGATCTTCATCGTTTCCTTCTAACTGTCTCCGGCATCGATTCAGTTGATGACGAAAGTAAACACGAATTTGTGCAGGTGGCTTTTAAATCTTAATTTTATTCTTATCTTAATACATTTATTCATACGAACAATGTGGTACAAACAATACACAAGAACAATGACAACAACAACCACTAGCACTCAACTTAGAGAAGCCCTAAATGTAGGGAAGAAAAAAAAAACCTATGTACCGTATTTTCTCTAATAGTAGTTGACGCGCCGAGCCGAGTTGACGATCATTTTACAGTTCCCAAGCTTTCGCAGAAGCTCAACACTCAAATCCCCCACTAGATCTCATCGTCAGCTACATTTTCCGACCCCACATCGATAGGTTCTGATAAGCGGTTCTCGAGATTTCGAGGAATTTAGGCAAGGCTTAGGGTGCACTACTATTAGAGAAAATACGGTATGTGGGAAAAAGTAATAATCTAGCCGGTGGGATTGAACCCTTGACCTTCTGGCTAAGATCAAGGGCTCTTAGCCACTCGGCCATTTGCTGTCCGTCTAACTAGTGCACATTTTGAATGTTGCCTTTAACTGAGATCTATTATTTCATTCAATTTTAGTTCGATCGTTCAACTCCGGTCCCTGAAAAGTACACCGACAAGGAGAATCCTCCTTACAATTACTATCTTTACTACATGTATGCGAATATCTCGTTGCTAAATGCGTTCAGAAGGTTTGTTTGAGATCTCAATGACAGTTAAGCTTTGCTGGTATTGCTTGTGAGTGTTTCAAAGCTAATCCTTTCTTATTTATCAAATTTAGGACTCAACTCTTTAGTAATTCTAGTTCTAGTTGATTTAGTAATTCTTATTATCAAAATCAAATAAAATAAAATCAAATCAAATCCATCCAAATTTTACTTTTCAACCGATTTCCAGATCTCGTGGCTTAAACACATTTGTTTTGCGTCCCCATTGTGGAGAAGCTGGTCATGTCAATCATTTGGTCACTGGATTTTTAACCTCAGAGAGTATCTCACATGGATTAATGCTGAAAAAGGTGAACTTTCTTAAGAATCTAATTTTACAGCAAATTTCAAGGTGCCCGTTCTCCAATACCTATACTATTTGACTCAAATGGGCATCGCCATGTCGCCGCTCTCGAACAACTCGCTTTTCGTTAGCTATCAGAAAAATCCGATGCACGAGTTTATGCAGAAAGTGAGTCACTTGAAATACGCAAAGCTAAGAAGTTGATCAAGTTGATGAAGTTCTGATTTTATTCATTTTCAGGGTTTAAATGTTTCCCTTTCCACTGACGATCCCCTTCAATTCCACTACACAAAAGAAGCGCTCATGGAAGAGTATTCGATTGCGGCACAGGTAGAAGAATGAGATTCTAAAACTTGTATTAGAAACAGATTTAGCAAATAGCAAATAATATAGCAAATTTAGAGATATTTTCCCTCAAAAACCGGCAAGTTTTAGGTATGGAAGCTCTCCTCTTGTGACATGTGCGAGTTGGCGAGGAACTCGGTGCTACAGAGTGGATTCGAGGACAAGGTCAAGAATTTAGAAAACTTTAAAGGCGGAGTTCGAATTGGGATCGAAATCATCGATTTAACAAGATCTGAAATTTGTGGGAAAATTTAAAGACAAAGTTTCCCTTGAAGCGAAGGGGTTTTGGCGGTGAGGGGATTCGAACCAGGGACCAGGGTCGCGGGGCGACTATCCGCTGCACCATTCGGCGCCATACCGCGGTGGCGTGGGCATAATGACGCGAAAATGGAGGACTGGTTTAATCGCACACCGATCCTCCAACTTTAGGTCGGAATTAGGACCGATTCTCACTAAAGCCAAGAATTTGAGCATAATAACGCACGGATTTGAATTAGACGATTCCGAAACTGGAATTTAAATTAGATGATTTCGAAGTATGGGTTTAAGCTAGACGATTTCGAAGTAGGAATTAAAATTAGACGATTACGACGCACGGCTTACGGATTCCTACCACTTTCTACCAGGGCCGTTTGCCAGATCGCGAGCGATTACCCAGCCGCACAAAGATGATCTCGCTAATCATTTACAATGATTTCTCTTTTGCTTTTTAGATGACATCAAAAAAAAAGATATTGAGCTTAAATTTGTACCCAGGGGTTTTCAGTGTCTAGGAATCAATTGGCGCTATTCATTTTATTGAGGCTATCAATCGGAACACGGGTTTAACTCGTCTAAATCGACTATTAGAGAGGCTCGGAAAGAGACAGGAAAGAGCCAAACTAACTTCTCGCACTCAAATTTGAGAACTTTGAGCACAAATTGCATCAGTACTCAATTTACAGTAAAGCCAATCTGAAAGTGAATCTGAAAGTGAATCTGAAAGTGAATCTGAAAAAAAAGCAATCAACTTGTCTTTTAAATGAATTTCAATACTCATTTTTCAGGTGAAAATCCATTGGCTTGGGCCGAATTTTAAAGAGGAAGGAGTGCTGGGAAATGACATTCATCGCACAAATGTGCCCGATATTCGTGTCTCTTTCCGTCACGAGGCTCTCGTCGACGAGTTGACGAATATTTTCCGGGGAAAGATGTTCGGTTTTTAAGCAAGAACCACAACTTGTTTTTTTTTGTTTCTTTTTCCGCAATTTCGCATTTGCCTTCATTATTCCGGGAATTTCTTTTAAAAAGCTTTTAATTAGTGGTATTCGCATACGGGAAATCATCCACAGTAAACTTTTAAACTAAAATTTCGGAACTTTTTTTGGTTTTCTATCCAAATTTTGCTTTCATTTTGTTTCTCGTTTTGATGATATCGATTTTTTGATCAATTGAGTTTCAAAAGTGCAAATTTTCTTTTTATTCTTTAAGATCATAGAATAAATGTTAAATAAAGAATCAATTTTGAATTGTGCTTGCTTTTTTGCAAAAGTTAGATTAGATTCAAGTAATTCAAATAGTTCAAATAATAACTAGTTTTTCACATGAAAACTAGTTTATTAGATGGCTTTAACTTTGAATAATTCTCTTCCACATTACAGGCAATATCTATGAGAACTTCTTAAGCTCGCAGCTCGTTTAGCGCTCTCAAAATTGGTTTATGGAAAAAATAGATGTAAAAAAACGAAAACTAAACTAAATTCTAAAGAAATCAATGCAAATTTCATTGGAATTTGAAGTGAGAACTCAAAATCTGGTATTTCTTATGAGTTTTTTTGAAAGGCTGATGTTGAATTTGGATCCCCCCCGGCTCGAAAACCATTGGTTTACAAATTTTCATTCCAATTGGCCTCAAAAAGTACCAATTTTGACCAATTGGAAACTTGATTTAACAGCAAAAGCTGACATTAGGCAAGATATTTATTCTATCCTAAGATATTCAGGTACACGTCGATGTTTCTTTGTAGCAGACATTTCACAGTGACTCCAAATTTGTGTCCAAGTAGGTGATGGATGATAAATCGGAGAAAGTTGATGGAGTTTCTTCATCTGAAGACAAGAAATGATTCAAATTGTCTTATTAGGTTGTCCAATAAAAAATTGCCGTTTCTCAAAAATTTCTATTTTCAACATAAAATAAAAAGTAACAACGTAGATCATACAATATATTTTCCATGGTTATTATAGACCTTTAACCAACGTTTTGGTAACTTTTCAAGTCCTCGCTTGTAAAAACCGGGTTGGCGTGAAAGAAAGTGGTCCTCCTGAAAGAAAGTAGTCTCGTCCTCGAGGCCACCTTGCTTGTTGAATTGCTTGCCTCGAAGGAAATCCTTTAGCGACAAAAATAAGTAATAATCAGAAGGAGTAATATCCGGGCTATAAGCGGAATGTGAAAGTACATTCCAGCGCAAATTGTTTTCCATAAAATTCTTCGATTTGCTCGATTTGTGGGAAGGAGCGTTGTCTTCAAGCACAAAAACGGGATCATTCCATTCATTCTCATAGAGCAATCGGCGAATTTTCTGCTCAACTTGTTGCATACGGCGTCTATAAACATCACTGTTAAAAGTTTGACCCTTCTGGAGGAGCTCCCAAAAAAGTATGTCAGAGCAACGCCAATAGACACACAGAAGTCGCTTATTCCCATGAATATTTCGTTTTGGCACCACTTTTCCCAATCGACCTTTCTTCAACCATTGTCGTTTCAACACTCGACCATCATAGAATACCCCCGATTGATCATGCGTCACTATATTGGGAAGAGGAAGTCGACCGCATCGATATTCGTTTAGTAGTTGACGGCATGACCGCGCTCTTCGGCCCTTAATCGAATTGTTTAGTTGATAGGGAATTTGCCGCTGTTTCAGCCACTTTCTTCCGGTTTTTTTGAGCCAACGCCATACTGTCATTCTTCCGCAATATTCTTGTGCTAAAATCCGAGTCGATCCTTCGGGATTCTGCCGAAGTCGGCGTCTCAACGTCTGTCGATTCACTTTTCTGGGACGACCGCTTCCTCGCTTTCGTGTGAGCCGGGTGTCACCTTTCCGGAACTTCTGAAAACAACATCGTGCAGTCCTTTCCTTGACGAGTGTTGCTCGATAAAAAGAACTGATTTCTCTCGTTGCTTTGGCCGCCGTTGATAAAATATCGTTGATACAGGTGTTGATGGATTTCTTCACGAGACGGCGCCATTTGCTCGATCACAACTTTTTCTATTTTTGGTTTCTAAAAAAGAAAATTTAGCACATAAAACTAGAATTGTAAAGCAGCACAATAAAAAAAACAGAAAGAGAAAGTGTTAGTTTGTCCCTGAATACGAATCAATTTTTCAATCAATTTTTTATGGGACAACCTAATAAGATGTCCTACAGATTATTCTTATAATTATCCCTACAATCATCAAAAGCTTCGCTTTTTGTAGCCGATAAATGTTAGGGGCTGGCGTCGCCGTGGAGCGTTCGGGAGCACGCTTGTCTACGGCCCGCGCGACCCGAGTTCGACCCCCCGTAGTGCCACTCAAGTTGACTTTTTATTCTTTCTTTTAAATAGCACAATTACAATATAGTCTAAAGTTTTCTAAAGAAGTTTTAGCTTTATTAGTCAGAACATAGCCGAGAAAATGCCAGTACAGACAAACAGACGTTGCTCTTTTGGTGCACAATTATCGAAACTCGGCTTTTTCCAACGGTAAATCAATTCCCAATCATTCAATTCACCTATTTACATATTTCTATAAAATTTCTAGTTACTTCTCGGCGATCAACTTCAATTTTTAGCTCCGAAACACAGTGTTACGCTTTTCTATTAGAGTTCTATTATGGCTTTTTTGTTTAGGGTACGCAGAAGCAATGAAGTGAAACACCGAGCCGCTTAGAATGAGCAATTTTTAAACGAATGCTTCAATAAACAATTCGTGCAAATGATATTGTCGTTTCTTCTGCTTTTTCTTTTATTTCATTCACAGTACTGCTAGAAACGATTTATAGAAAAATAATCAGATCTGGATACGGAGATTCGGAAAATTTTTGGGGTTGGGCTAAACATCAATCCATCCACTTCTCATCGACAGTCACGTCGAACGGGTCGTTCGGGTCTTGCAAAGAGTTCAAGGTTCTGAAAGTTTAAAAATTCGTTTGAAAGTTAGGATCATTGGGGTTTTGGTCAAGACACTGAGCTTTCAATTTTGGCAAAGACGGTTTTGCCTAACCCTATGTTCATGGCCAAACTGGGTACCTATTTTGTTTAACTTGCAGCAAATTCTTTCACCAACCTGTCAAAGCCGATTTTTGCCATTGAGTTTATCCTTTGGTCTTTTCGAAGAGACTCAGCGAAACTTTTGTATTCTTCTTGTCGTTTTTCATTGTTTCACCTCCTTTTTTATACGCTTCCCTTATCAGTTGACCACATTTCACTTTTTTCACCTCAAACAATTTGTGTTCATCTAATACGTATAAATTCGTGGTTAATCGAAAGATTACTAAACATTTTGTTTGTAGAAATTCGAGGGGTTCACTGAAGAGTTTTGTTCCAAATTTTTTGGATTTGGTTATCTGAAATTCGAAAATGAATTCTTTTTCACGGGGCTCTCAAAAGTGATGAGTCATACAATATTTGACTCCTTGGAAAAATGAGGAAAAAGGATTAGTTATGAAAATTTGGAACTTACAAGTGATTATCGGGAAATTCCTTGCAACTATTTTGATGGAAAGATCAAGCACAAAAGTTCTATGAAAGTTTTGATCAGGTTTTTAGGTAAACTTTAGGTAAACTTACTGCCACAAAATGGTTGATTGCGTCAAAAAAGATAAGATACTTATGGTAAATACTCTATTTGAACGCCATGGTGTTCTATTCTCCGCTCCAGACTGACGTTCTATTAGAAGGTGGCGTTAAATTAGGGTGTGACGCTCTATTTTACAGTTGCTCTTGCTGTTGCTGAAGAAAGTCAAGTTTCTTTGCAATCAGGTAAATATTTTGATAGTATTCAATTTGAAAAACATCAATTTACATTAAAGTTTCCCATTTACTCTTGAATTGCATTGTGGCTTTAAATTTGAATATATTTATTGAGCTCGAACGGGAAAACACAAATCATGAAAGAAAATAACGTTACATATTTACACAAGGGTATAGTTTTGAGCAGATAGAGCAACCACGACACCAGTATGAGCGTTCCCATCGGAGAAAGTGAGTTTAACCGTGAATGCACCGTGAAGAGACAACTGACCGCCAATTGTAGACGTCTAAAGAAACAGTTAAGAACATTTTGAAATTTATAATATGTCCAGCCGGTAAAATCCACTTCGCCGATTTTACCGGCTGATTGTGTGTAAAAATAAGTAAACCATAAGTAAACCGTGAATGACTGTGAGTGATTGTAAAAATATCAAAAAGAGAGACAAATTTTTGAGCGCATAAAACTTTTCTATATACTACAGTATCCCACAAAGTGAAAACAAAATGAAAACATTCAGTTATCTCTTTCAAGAGAACTGGGAAACCACTTTGCTTAAAATTCGGCCTTGTCACCTTAAATTTAAAGGTAATACGCTCTAATTTTATGGTTTACATATACAAGTGATATCAAAAAAAGCAATAGGAAAACCAACCACTTTGCGCAGATTGCGGATCTCGATCAAAGCGGCGCGCCCAGGGCATAACTTGACGGCGTAATTTCGATCGGTATTTCGTGCGGCGTGGCCGAAGTAATGATCATGTCCTTGGACTCGGACAACGACGTGCCGCTGATCGATCCATACTTGGACCCCATTAGCGACATCATATTGAACGCGAAGAGTATCAGCTTGGTGGAACATTGCCGGTTCGGATCGAAATAGGAATATTAATGAATGAGATTTTCAGAACAAATTCCACTCATTTACCTTATATGTAAATTTAGCTTGAATTATGCAGATGTTTCGAAAAGCTTGTATTACAAAGAGAACTTGAAAACACCGTACCTGTTGGCCTCTTCGTCGATTTCTTTTTTCGGGGTTTTGCTTCCATCGTCGTTGATCGGTTCTTTTTTCGGATCCATTTGCTCTTTACCCAAATAATCTAAAAGGACTTCTTGTTAGCAAAGAAACAATATCAGCATTTGGTGCTATCGCAATCAGGGCGGGAGTGGGCGGGGCCTCGAAACATTTATAACTTTATCATCTGT